GGGGGGGATGCAGGTGCCGTTGCCACTCCGGGTACCTGGAACGCCGAACCATGCGACATGCCCGCCCTGCCCCCCCCCCCCTTGGCCATCCCTGCTGTAGTCAGTGCGGTGGAATTCCCCGTCCCCCGAGGGAAGGCTCCGCCAATGGTCGGCTGCTGGCAGCTCGCCAATCCCTTTGCGCTTTTTTGGCGTGCGTCCCTGTGACGGTCGCCGGGCCCGGCTGATCGAGCCCTCCTTAGAAAGTAAACAGAGCCCGAGTGGCTCGGGGCCGGTCTGGCTGCCGGGGGGGGGGGGGGGGACCCCCCAGAGATGCAAATACGTGGGATCTGGCCCCCCAGCCCATGCACGGTGGCCTCGGCCCGATCATCATCGCCATCTCCCTGTGCCCAATAGACAGCGGGGCGGGGAGGGGCGTCTGTCTTGGCTCTATCTTAGGTGCGAGGGGTTGAAGATGGTGTGCTCCGGGGGCCCCAGCTGCTTGAGGGGAGAATCCTTGTGTCCCCGTCCGCCCTCGTCTTAGTGTGGCAATCCCCACACGAAGGTTGTCCGATCGGGGCTGACACGCCGGAGCTCAAGATCGGACTTGTTCTGCGCCCTTCGCGCACCCCCTGTGCGGGTCCTATCACCCGATGGGGGAGCTCCTGTCCCCCCTTCGTGGGTGTGCCGCCAAAATGCCCGTGAGCATGATCCACGGGTGGTATGCCCCCCCGCCCGCCCCGCCCCCCTCCACCCCCCCTCCCACCTGCTGGGGAAACAATCTGACATCCTAGATGCCGCGACCATAGACTCAGGCACCTCCTGACGCAACAGATTGGCTTTATTAACAGTCGCGTCGGCGTATTTGGAAGGCCTCCACATTCATGCACACATGCATATCCGAGCATGCATGGAAAGAGACGCACACGAACTTATTTACGCTGTCGCCGAGCAGAGAGCGGGCATGTCGTGGAGTGGCAACCGCCTGCTGGGGGGGCTTCGGCACCGCCCAAAGAGCCGGGGGCACATTGGACGGGCATGCAGATGAATGACAGGCAGCGATGCCTCCAGGGCGGTTGGGGCGCTCTGGGTCCCGCCCCCTTGCTCGACCTCCTCCTCCGCGGATGGTGGCATCACCACCCGGGAGACGGTCGGCGCCTGGATCCATCTTATTGTGTGAAGGTCCGGCCGGGGGGTGCGGGGGCGCGGGGGGG